CCCCAAAACCCCAAAACCCCAAAACCCCTTAAGGAATGTTGTATATTGGGGTTTAGTGTAAATAGAATGAAACTGGTGAGATGAGTTAAATGAGTTTGAGGTGACCCGAGAGGATATCGAAAGAATGAAAATTAACACAATTAAGAGGTTTATACTGAGTGGGATAGAATATCTATAGATTGGAATCCGAATTTGTCAAGTGTTTCTCTAACATGTTGCTTGGTCATTCCTCATTTCTCTAAACGAATTTGTTGAAAGTTTTTCTTGAAATCTACACTTTGAGAAAGAGCTCTGATCAGATTGGAGAATCTTTCAGGATATTTTCCCCAATCATTACATTCAGAACCACCTCAGTAAAATAATTCTAATATCTTCAATTTCGATCCACTCAAGCAATGTTGTAAAGCAGGAACGGAGTCTAGCGAAAGTTTACTATATCCCAAACCCAGGAATGTTTGATTTTTGCAGATAACTTGTAAAAGCATTTGCAATTGAGGTTGATTTATTTTCAAGGAATATAAACATAGTTCGCTTAATCCAGTAAAGCTTGTGTGAATAATCAAATCAGAAATTTGCTCTCAATCAATAAGCTTTCCTTTAACATTAAAATGGAATTTATCAACTCTTTCAGGAAAAGATGAGATTATAAACTTCTTTGCGAGGGATATTTGGCAACTTATTTTATCAATTCTCAAGCTTTTATAATTTGGGATAATATGGTCTCCCATTGATTCCATAAACTCAACATCTCATTCAGATCCTCAACTTAAGATATGATTGTTGGATATGCTTATCTCAACTTCCTTGCCAGTAATTATCTTGTATCATTGTTCATATTTGTCTTGAGTTGCAGTCCCAACTGTATTTATGATTCTCTTCCTTCACTCTTCAAACCTTTTCTTGAGAGTTGTAAAGTCTTTTTCTTTCTGCTCCAATTGCTCTTGAAGTGAGGCCACATCTATCTTTGTGTTTATGAGTCTGTCTATTTTGTTCTTGCTGATTTTCAGATAATCTCACATCAAGGTCATGTAGCTCTGGACACAGAATTGTTTGAAGTCTTCATTGCTCCGAAGTTGGGTAGCGAGGTTGGCAGCCTCATCTTTAATTTCTTGTAACTTGTGGACATCATTGTTTTCCTTTGCTTTGCCAATTTTTTCCTGCATTTGTATTGCCTGGTCTCGAAGTTGCTTTACCAAAGAAATAGAATTATACTCTTCTGATTCAGTAGAAACAGAGAAATTCTTGATACAAGTTTGGAGAACTTCAAGGGCTTGCTGGATCTCTTGAATATTAGTAATTTTAATCCAGTATTCTTGCTGATCTTGCTGATAATGCTTTTCTCAAATTCTGATTTCTATTTTCTGATGAGAGTACTGAGCTTCAAGATCTCAATCTGCTATTTGTCACTTGAGAATAGATTCCATGTGAATTCCTATGACTTTTACATGTATTTGTTTGAATTTACAGCATTCTAATTCAACATAAGTGTATTATATATTTCTAATTATTTCAATTTTAAATTTGTTAAGCGGGGTTTTGGGGTTTTGGGGTTTTGGGG